ACTACTACTACTAGTAGTACAGTAGTAGTAGTAGTAGTAGTAGTAGTAGTAGTAGCAGTAGCAGTAGCAGTAGCAGTAGCAGTAGCAGGAGCAGCAGCAGCAGCAGCAGCAGCAGCAGCAGCTGGAGGAGGAGTAGTAGTAGTAGTAGTTGTTGTAGTGGTAGTAGTATGATAGCAGAAGTAGTGGTAGTAGTAGTAGCAGCAGCAGCAGCAGTAGTAATGGCAGCAGCTGATGTTGTAGTCTTATAGAGGTCATCATACTGCTTCGGACATGCTGTAGTCGCATGGGCTCGAAGCCGTTTCTTGCAGCAAAGGCTCTGGTGTGGCTCTCGTCCGCGTAGAGGAAGACGCTACGTTGAGTCCACGGGAAATGCTCCCCCAAAGTTTGCAGGCCCTGCGTGACTCCGGAGGTAAACACCACCGAGTGGGTCGCCCTGCTGACGTTGAACATCTGCCTTTCGGCTCAATTCGCTTCGGGTCAAGTTTTGGCGTGACACCTCGGAATCCCTGGATTGCCAAAAGAGATCACTAGTACTTGAGCACGATCCGGTACTGCAGGTGTAAAGACTCGACGTCCTCCAACCCAAAAGCGTGCAGACTTCTGACCCTGGCAGATTTGACGAGTTAGACCCAAATCACAAGTACTTTTCAGAAACTTCGACCCCGAGTCACATGAAAACCTGAAGGCGGCACCAAACAAACTGCTGAAGCTGCTCTCTGCAGCCCAATTACAGAACAAGATCCCGACTGTTCTCCACCCGCCGCGCTGTCTCCGGTGAACTGTGAGGGTTGGCAAGGCAATTGTCCAACAACACTGCCTCGGGCTCTTCGCTGCGATTGATGTAGTTTGGTTTCTGCTTGGGGTTCATCCGCCTCAGGTTTACCCCGCGTGTGCGAGGTTATACGTGCTACAAAGAGTTGGCTCACAGAGCGCAAATTCCTCTCTACACGTTAGCCTGACCTGTCCTCTCCAGGCACTTGCGAGCCTCGACATCATAATACTTCTTCAGTAACACACCCAGATGTGAGGAGTTCAAGCGAAACTTGTCTACCTGGATGGTCATCTTGCGATTCATGGTGGAGCTGGGGACTCAGTAGGAGCCTCTGGAAATGTCTGATGTAGAAACTGGATGGCTCTGAGCAGCGAACCATGGCAATGAATAAGGAATTAATTGCTCTCAAGGGTCTAAGACGCTGGGTGATGGTAAGTCATGTACCTGAGAGACGCCCCCACAAAACGAAACACTGAAGAAATCCAACTCAGTCAAGACTTACAGCTAAAAACACGACGCCACGATATTTCATGTAGAGTCTTTGCAGAAGCCGAAACCCCTCTAAGGGCCTGACCCTGGAGTCTGAAACCCTGGAAATGTGCACCTTGAGAAGCCAAATTCACTGAAGCCTACCCAGGCCCGAAGCCCTCCAAGCTGTACGAGCTTCAAAATCCAAAAGCGCCCTTTAGGCACTTGCCACCTGCAGACCGCAAAATACCGGCTTCTCATGCTCTAGGTCCACGAACTTATGCTTAATGTCACAGCAAAGAACCACATACATCAATCCCAAAGCTCTGATGATGATGATGATGATGATGATTATGAAGATGATGATGACGGTGATGACGATGATGATGGCGATGGTGATGGTGATGGT